TTTTTTCTCCAAATTCTCACTTTTTTCTTGCAGTTGCGAATTTATATTCCACAGTTCTGACTTGTTTTGCAATTCTGCATTTATACCTCGCAATTCTGAGTTTATAACTTGCATTTCTGAGAAAAAGTTCAGAACTGCGAAACTCAGAATTGTGAGATATATACTTTTTCCTCGGTATTCTGATTTTTTTTCTTGCAATTGCGAGTTTACATTTCACAATTCTTACTTGTTTGGTCAGAATTCTCAGTATTTTCTTGCAATTGCGAATTTGTCTCACAATTCTGACTTTTTTTTTGCAATTCTGTATTTATATCTTGCAATTCTGAGTAAAAAGCTCATAATTGCAAAGCTCATAATTGTGAGATATAAGTGCAGAATTGCAAAAAAAAGTCAGAATTGCAATATTCAGAATATTCAAAAATATATTTAGTCAGAATTGAGTTCACACATTTCAGACATTTCTCTCGCAATTCTACAATTACATCTCACAGTTGCGCGTTTGCATCTCGCAATTCTTACTTTTTTTCTCCAAATTTTCACTTTTTTCTTGCAATTGAAAATTTATATCTCGCAATTCTGAGTTTCTATCTTGCAATTCTGTGAAAAATTTCAAAATTGCGCAACTCAGAATTGCGAGATATAAGCGCTGAATTGCAAAAAAAAAAAAAAAAAGTCAAATGTATTTCTCTAATGTCACAAAGCAAGCTTTTTAGCATAAATGCAAAAACAAGAATTCAGGTCAGTTCAGTTCATTTTTTTTTTTATGTATGTATGCATGCATGTATTTATTTATTTATTTAGTTAATTAGTTAGTTAGTTAGTTGTTCTAAAGTGCTTTTACAGAATCAAAATACAAATACAATGGCAAATCCACAATGCATTACTTTTATTATTATTATTATTTTATAAATTTAATCAGTTATTTAAAAAAAATGGTAGGCTATTCCACAGCGTATGGGAAAACAAACAAAACAAACACAAAAGTGTAGTATGCTCATTATGTCTGCATATTTTATTGCATTAAAAATAAGAAAAGAACAAAAAAACAAAAAAAAAAAAAAAAAAAAAGGTTGGAATTGTGATATACAAACTCAAGAGTTTTGACTTTTCCTCGCCATTCCAAGTTCACATTTCACAATTCGTACTTTCTTTTCTTAGACTCTTTTCTCACAACTGTTGCGTTCTCATTCAGACTTTTCTTTGCAATTCTGAGTTTATATCTCGCAATTCTGAGAAAAAAAGTCTGAATTGCTAGATAAAAAGTCATGATTATATTTATTTTTATCCATGTGTGGAAACAAGCTTGCATACAAGCATGACGCAGTGCATTATACGTGCACGGTTTCGACATTCAGAAGTTTGTTCATTGTTTTCACTGGGCAGTTAACACAGAAGTTTAATTTCGTGGGTAACGTTGTACGATCCCCAGAGGCTTATTGCAGCCATTTGAATACTTTCCCCATCAGCTAATCACTTTCATAGTCGTAACCAATTGCTCTTTTGATCCCGTAGGCTTTGCGGGACTTTAAGTGGTAATTTCGGGACAATTAAGTTGTTATAGTTGACAGTCGGTGGATGTATAGGCTCATCAGCACGGTATGTTGATGATGGAAGGCTGTTAGCAGGAATAGCTGTATCTGGCGCTCTCACGGGGGATGTGAGATGGTGCACGCTGACAGAAATCCTGGATGCTAGTTAGCAAGCAGCAGTGCACTGTCAGGTGTCAGGAGTCAAATCAAATGAGAGCCAAGCCACTTCAGCGCACAATGACAACCACTGTGTCTCATGAATTAAAGATGACTGTACGAGGGAGGAGACACAGAGCGAGAAGCACCGGCGGAGACAAAGACGGATCAATCTCTTCCTCTCATACTTCTTTGTGGGCCACAAGCTTGAATAATAAACACAAGTGGGTTTTTTTGGCCAGATGCGACGCGCCAAACGGCGGTCTGGAGCGCACAGACACGCTGCTAAATCTAATGGCTTAAGTTGGCGATTTAAAAATAGATAATGACCTCCTTCGAACAAATCGTCACCGTCACATCCAGCTAAGGCTGCTGGGAGACAGACACCCCAGACATTTGCTCCCAATCTCAGTTTCCTACTTAGATCCAGCGCTTTGATTAGCTAGGAGAGCAAAGGGCTGGGAATATGATGTACTTGGAGAGGACGGAGATATTTTATTGGTATTCTGGATGTTTCCAGGATATTAATACATTCAGAATTGAATATCTAGTCAATGTGCAGCTTGAAAAAAAAAAATACAATAGGGTAACCTGACCCAGCTGTGGTTGGTAGGTTAAAAAACAAACTTCTTAGGTTGGTTGGCAGTATTAAAACTTATTTTAAATAAATTAACACATATTATATACATAATCATAATAATATGATGCATTTTTCGTATGATTAATTGTAGCCCTTCTTGGTTAAAAAAGTTTTTTCTGTTTGGTTGGCAATGTTAAAATGCTAAAGAAAACTATATTCTAAACCAAACTAACACCTATTATTAGGGTATACATTAATAATATACATAATTAATCATATAATATGATACATTTATCATAGGATTAATTCTAACCCTTTTTAGTTAAAAACAAAGTGTTAAAAAGGAAAAAAGTTTTAAAAGTGTTAAAAATAAAACATTTTAAACCAAACTAACACCTATTAAAATAATATATAATAACATATAATAAATAATATAGAATATATTTTTTAAAACACTTTTTTTAGGTTGGTTGGCAGTAATAAAAATCTATACAGAAAACTATTTTAAACCAAACTGACTCCTATCATTATTATATATTAATAATATACATAATTAAACATAATAATATGATACATTTACTATTATTATTTTTAACCCCTTATTTTTTTAGGCTGGGTAGCAGTGTTAGAAAGCTAAAGAAAACATTATGTTATCACCAATCATAGCAATATATATTAATAATATATGATACATTTATATGATAGGATTCATTTTACACTTCAGATTGGTTGGTTGCCAGTGTACTAAATCATAAAATATCTAAATTAATAATATACAATGAATCATAATAAAATAATACATTGATGATGTAATTTATGAAGTACGCCAGTTTATGATATGACCAACTTAATGACTAACTTAAACCAACTAACACCTATGATAATAATATATTAATAGTATACATAATTAATCAGAATCATATGATAAATTATTTATATGATGTGATTAATTCTAACCCATTTTTTACAGTCTTAAATGATGGTTTTAACCCCATCTTTCATTTAAACAAACAACAGGGAGGCTCATCAGCTATGAATAATTAATTAACCTTAATTTAATATGCCATGTGCCAACCAACCCATCACTATGAGGGAATACGTTCAGATTATTGCACCAGCACCCACTTCTGACCCAAAAGTGCATCCCTGTGCCAACCAGCTCCATTCTCCCTTACACATAACACAAAATATACCCACCCTGGGACCAGCCCGACAAAATATTTGCTTCCTGTATATATTCCCGTCTTGTTAAGAAGTCAAGCTGTAAACCCAACAGAGGGCATGTGTTCTGTATTTAGGTCTAACACTTGTCAGCTATTTTCTGCGAGCGCTGGGATTGTTTCCTAATAGTACGGTTTATGAGGGCCGGTTTGTGAAGCCAGCATTTGGATGTTTCCATTTTAAACCGATCATTAAAGCCCGTTTGCCGTGCATTTATTATCTACAACCAGGGACTATTCTCAGTCAGTCTTTCCACAAAAAAAACACATGACACTGGAAATGCTGCTGGCAGGAATGAATGTTAAAAACCAGGAAAACATAAAGATGCACACTATTCAAAGACTGTAAACAGCTGACATCAACGTAACCCCTGACCCTGATGTCTCACACAGTTTGAAAAACCATAAGTGCATTTTAACCTGTCAGACGCCATATTGATGACGTCACTAGACGAGTAAAAGCCAATCGTACGTTTTTTCATCACTGCAGTGATTTTAAGGGCCAAATATGATCTCAATGCAACATATGATGCTGTATCACGAAAGCAAGCAGTGTTTTTTTCCTCAAAGGCCTTCTAAGAAACTTTCCAGCAAAAGGAATTTGAAGCTGCAAGCAAGCATAAAAACACAGTAGTCTACAGATGTTTCCACAATAAGCGAAGCAACACTTCTCGTTCATGTACCATTTTATTGGACTTATATAGAAATACTTTAAAAAAACATGAAGTAGCACCATTACTTAAGTTTTACTTTATCATGTAGAACTTTAAATGTCAGAAAAATAAAACTCTTGATACATTTTCAAATCTTGTTTCAGCAAATATAATATTAGTATTTGACCATGAGGTTAAAGGCCTTTTATCATAAAATAAAATATACTTTGTTTTTAAACTTTGCTCAATAAAGTACATAGACGCTCAAGTAACTTCACCTACATATACATAAACAAGTGGTAAACAAACGTATTAAAATAGAAATCCTAAACCTATAGTGGTGCAACAGAACAGAACTCTGTGATACCCACTGGAATCTAATTCATACAAATTTTTAGAAAGCTTAAACGGTTCCTTTTTGTCTGAACGTACTAAGTTTTATACATTTCGGCATATTTCGTAATAATATAGAATAAAATATGCTTTATATTACTGAATAGAAAATATGCTGGGTGAAACGGATTCAAAACACATTTTTTTGCTGAACCTAGAAACCCTCCAACCCAACAGAATACTGTCCGATGCAAATGCACATTTTCGTGGTCTGAATCGCCATCCGCTTTTCGAGTGATATTAAAATAATACAGTGTTCGTTGCCGCGAGGCCATACTAAAAAATAAAAAGATATTTGAACCCAGCTACAAAAAAAGTTCACTGAACTTAAATTAAAATATCTGTAAACATCTTTGCAATACGAAATATAATATTTCAAGTCAAAAAAAGAATAAAATACTTCAATCTGTATTAATGTCATCATGAATATTTAAAACTTGTGGAATTTCTGCTTTATCTATACATATGTTGCCGTTCTCCCTCAAACGAGTTCCATCGCGTAAGCTGCAGTATCTCCACACCGCTGTGAGTCTCTCTCTCTCTCTCTCTGTGTGTGTGTGTGTGTGTGTGTGTGTGTGTGTGTGTCAGACAGGAAGCCGTCCAGATTCCCCCGAACTCCAGGTCTGCTACCTGTACATTCGATCAGCGGAATCGAAAGGCTCGTTTATGCTAACAGTCTAAGGTACCTCAGGTGAGACCGTCGGCCGTCCTTACTCCATTAACGCTTGCTTGTGTACAGTTGACTAAAACTATTGATTACTATGCTTGAATATTTAAAACATGCATTAGATGTTGAAAATATTTGTCCCGAGCTACAGTACAGTATGAACAATGGCCGTCCCTTTTTGGATACTGCAGCTCTACATACATATGTATATACACGTACAATAACACACGTTATTAGGCTCTCACGAAGTCACGGAGGGCGCGTGGACGCCCTTTAGGAAAATATACGTATAGCCTGAGTAACCGCAGCATGGCAGATGGGGCATTTGGGCTCGTTCCTCTCGCAGATGCGGTTGGCACACTCCATGCAGAACAGGTTGTGGCCGCAGGGCACCAGAGCCGCAATCACCTCGCTCTCGAAGCACACCGAGCAGTCACGACTTCCCTTGCGGCTCGTCCCAGGCGAGGATGAAGAGGATGACGAGGAGGACGAAGAGATGGATGAGTCGGAGGGAACGCCGGGGTGATGGGATCCCATCGAGTAAGCGGGGAAGCTGAGTGTGCCTCCGCCCGGATCACTGCGCACCCGGCGCGCCAACGGATGCTCGGCCGCACCATTGGCCTGGTGTAAAGGCGGGGACAGCCTGGGCTGGTTGGCTCGGCGCTGCAGCCCGTTGGCGTTCGTGGAAGCATTGGCGGGGAAAACGGGCGAGGAGGCCGAGGTGCCGTTGGCGGCGCGCTCGTACTGCGACCACATCAGGCCCGGCGGCGCCGGAGTAGGGTCGAATCCCGGTGATGGATCGAAGGCCAAGTCAGCGCAATCGGGCGAGATCACCTCGCCGCTGTACACAAATCCTTTGGCGTTGTTGTTGTTGTTGTTGTTGTTGCCATTGCTGGAGGCAGTGTAGCTGAGGGCGGGGCTTGGCGGGCTATAATCGGCCAGCCTCGAGCTGCTATTGTTGCCGCCAAAATATGAATCGGTAGAGGCGCTCCCTAAGGAGCTGGAGCTGTCGTTGCGGTAATTGGAGAACGGCTTGCGACCCGAAGTGGGAGTGACGCTGGAGCTGGGCTTGCTCCACAAGCTGGCATTTCCATGCAAATCGAAACCCACGTCGGTGCCGTTGGCGTGGAAGTCGTTCTCGTCTGTGAACTCGATCAGGCCGCCGGTGCGCATGGCGATGTGTGCTTCAATCTCCTCCCTGGCCCGGTCAACGTTCTCCGGCATGCCGGTCACCTCAAACACGGGCTCTTTGTCACGGCTGGGCGTGACGATGTAGGTGTGCGTCTGCTGCTGGATGCGCTTGACGGTGGCCCCCTTGGGGCCGACCACTAGTCCCACCACCCGATAGGGCACCCGCACCTGAATGGTGGTCTGACCGGGCAGGTTGGGCGGGCCGGGTGCCGTGGTGTTCCCGTTCAGGCTGCTGTTTTTGTTCCGCGAGGCTCGGATCATGGAGAAGTGCTCGGCTGCTGAGATGATTTCCCTCCGAGCCATGGCTACATCCTCTCGCCTGCCTGTCACAACAAAGACCGGCTCCTCTCCCCGCACTGGAGTTTTGATATACGTATTGGTCTTTGCTCGCAGGGCTTTAATCTTGCAACCTACAATTGTGAGAAAAACCGAAAAAAGCACAAATGAGACAAAGCAAACACAATCAGGCACAAATCAAAAAGATGCAGGATGGGTGCAAGCGCACAGTCTTTGGGGGACAACAATTTCGCTTCTCTCTTTTTTTTTTTTTTTTTTTGTGGGGCATAAATTTTAACCACGTTCTGTAATTTATTAGTCATTAT